CTGCTGTGAGAACTGGGGCCACCCGGGAGGCTCCAGGCCTGGGACTCATACGTTGCAGGAGCCCGGCCAGACAGGGGACCGTGAGGGAACGTGTTTTCTCAAACTGCAGGTGTGGCCCATGGGTCATGAAAGCCATTTTGTGCCTCATGACCATCATTCTGTCTTTTAGACGAAAGAGCACAGAATGGACATAACAAACTAGAGCGCAGAGCACTAGGAGTGACAGTGTGTGGGGGAATATGTGTTTCGGCACGTGTGTGTGCACACGTGTGCACACAGGACAGTGAGACAGCAGTGCTGCTGTGGACGTAGGTCCCCGGGTCCCGGGGCTCTGACCCCCAGCACAGCGGGCAGCTGCCTGGGATGCGGAGGGGGGACTCCCCCTAAAGTAAACATGAACCCTGGCTCAGCCGCTTGCTGTTACATGGGTTCAGCTCACAGTGCCTCCATTTGTAAATGGGTCCAACAATAGGGAGAACCACAGAACTGTGAGGAGGAAGTTGGGGGACAGGAAGGAGAGAAGCTAAAACACACGAAGGTTTCCGCAAATGTCACGCGTTAGGAACACGTGTGACATTTGTCCGGGATGACAACCAGCACCAGAGCGACGGAAATGAGAGAGACAGCCTCCAGGGGAGATAGGAAATAGCCAGGCATGTGGGGAGAGCTGAGAAAAACAGGGTCTTTATGGGGGACTGCACAGTATTAGCGGGGTACAGAGCAGTGGTCAGGAAAGAAGGCAGGTGGGCGAGGAGCCGGAAGAGAAAAGAAAACAAGTGATACTTCTCTTGTTCCTAGTGAGAAAAATGTTGGACAGGTTTTCTGTTCCTTGCTACCCTAAAATTCACATTGGGCTCACTTGTTTTGTTTCACTGTTTAAATTTATAGAAACAAGTTGGTTTATGTGATAAGCAAGAGATGTAAAGGAAATCACCAAGGACCACAAAAACATAAATAGAAATTGAAAAGCACCTGTTCCCTCTTTCACTTAAGTAACAGTAATACTGGAAAGGCTAGTGCCCTGACCCTTAATTGATACTAGTCACTACTTACGAAGCATTCCTGAGAGCAGGGCATTGGGCCACACACATTTTCTCACCCCGTTACATCTTCAGGACACATCAGCGAGGCAGTAATTACTAGACCTGGTTTAAGGACAAGGACGGTGGAGCTTGGCAGCCAAGTGACATCATCAAGGTCACTCGGAATAAAAACGTGGGTCATGTTGACCCTTGAAGATTCCATCCCAGGCTGCCTCCTGCAAGATTTCCTGGGACCCTTTACACATTTTGCACAGTCTCTCTAGACTCACTTTCATCAACAAACATCGCGCCTTAGAGACAGCAAGTGAGAAAAGAAAGATTCTGTGTTTACAATGGTTGGCGATCACTATCTACATGGATACAAAGCTTAGTGCTGTTTTGTAAGCACGGTCTCTGGATGTGCGTGCACCCCAAGCATGCTCAGAAGTAGGGTGGGAAGTCATGGAAGAAAACCAAAACCTGGTGATGTCAAGGTGTATTTAGTCTTTGCTCAGATGTGCTTCCAAAACATCAGTGGCAGAGCCAAGAATCATCTAACGTTATTTCTTTATTTATACAGTCCTTTTATGTACACAAGCATACAACCATTTCTTATTAAGAAGCATTAAACATAATGTGGGACATGTTCCTCGATCCTTTCATCCAAGGACATGAAAGTACTTCACAGACACACCCTTCGCTTCTGCTAACTAATCTCATTTGGCCCATTTCAGAGATGGGTACAACCAAAATATAAAACTTGGGAATTTCAACTCATTCATTTTCTACTGCAATCACTAAGTCATGAATTTACTAGCCAGAGGGAATTGTTAAATACAGGGACTGACTGTGCTGAAAATGTCTTTCCATTTTTCCTGAAAAGGGAGAGGTTTAAAAAAAATTTTTTTAGGAATGCCTAGGTGGCTCAGTGAGTTGGGCACCTGCCTTCAGCTCAGGTCATGATCCCAGGGTCCTGGGATTGAGCCCCACATCAGGCTCCTTGCTCAGTGGGAAGCCTGCTTCTCCCTCTGCCTGCCTCTCTCTCCTTCTCTCTGGCAAAATAAGTAAAAATCTTTAAAAAATTAAAAATAAAAATTTTTTTAGAATGGACAAAATAAGTGAAGGGGATTAAAAGGTGAACTGCCTGTCCTGTGCTGACCATTTCATCATGTATATAAATATGGAATCACTGGGAGGTACACCCGTATCTCATACAATTAATGTATGTCAATCTTCAATTAAAAAAGAAGAAAAAGAAAAGCACAGAAGCATCAGGACAGGAGAGCTAGGAAAGATTTTTTAAATTGTGGTAAAATACATGTAATACTAAATTTACCACCTTAATCATTTTTAAGTGACCAGTTCAAGAGTATTTAAATATATTCGCATTGTTGCACAGCTATCCCCACTAGCCACCTCCAGGCCTCTTTTTATTATTCCAAACTGAAACTCTGTACCCATTGAACACTAACTCTCCATTCCTCCCTCCAGCCCCTGGCAGACACCACTCTACTTCCTGTCTCCATCAAACGGACTCCTTAGGTAGCTCATATAAGTGGAATCATACGGTATTTGTCCTTTCGTGACAGGCTTATTTCACGAAACATAATGGCCGCGTGGTTCATTTCTGCTGTAGCTCATGTCATAATTTCCCTCCCTTTGAAGGCTGAACAGTAACAGTTCACCGTGTGAACACACCACACTTCCTTCATCCATTCACCTACCTAAGGACATGCAGACTGCTTCCACACTTTGGATCTTGAGAAGACTATTACTATGAACATGGGTGTACAAGTATCTCTTAGAATTTTTGCTTTGGATTATTTTGGGTGTATATCCAGAAGTGGAACTGCTAACAGGATATGATAATTCCATATGATTGTTCATATGTGACTTTATTATTTTTCATTTTCTGAGAAAACTGCATTTTGTTTTCCTCAGGGGCTGCATTTTACACTCCCACAAGCAATAAAAAAGGGTTCAAATTTTTCCACAACCTTGCCAGCACTTGGTGTTTTCTGTTGTGTTGTTTTCTTTTCTTTTAAGATTTATTTATTTATTTGACACAGAGAGAGAGAGATACAGTGAGACAGGGAACACAAGCGGGGGAGTGGGAGAGGGAGAACCAGGCTCCCCACCGAGCGGGGAGCCCAATGCGGGGCTCGACCCCAGGACCATGACCCGAGCCAAAGGCAGACGCCCAATGACTAAGCCACCCAGGTGCCCCTGTTTTGTCTCCTAAACTATTCTCTATACCCAACATGGGATTCAAACTCACAACTCTGAGATTAAGAGTCGCATGCTCTACTGCCTGAACCAGCCAGATGCCCCAGTCTTTTCCATTTTATTAAGAGTAGTGACTCTAGCGGGGCACCTGGGTGGCTCAGTGGGTTAAAGAGTAGTGACTCTAACAGGGGGTGAGGAGGCATCTCATTGTGGTTCTGAAAGGAGTATCTTGATTTTGATTGTGAAGTTACTTAGAATAATAATTCCAATTATTTCAGTGGCCCATGGTAGGCAGCAACAGCTACACTCAATCTTAAGATGAAAGTCCACATTCTCCTCCGTTCTGGGTGCTGTATTCTATATGCTTTCTAATAAACAGGCACGCACGAGCTCTTTATATCCATGTGCCAAGAAGCACATCTGCATGGCTTTGTCTCATTCCATGTGTTTCTCAAGTGTGTGTGTGTGTGTGTGTGTGTGTGTGTGTGTGTGTGAGAGAGAGAGAGAGAGGGAGAGAGAGTGTTTCTCAGCTTCTTTTGATAGGCAGATGATTGTAGAGTATAACAAAGCCCCAAATTAAAACAAAAACAAAATAAAAATCAGCTAAGTCTGGGGTTGAGTATGTGTAACTGCCAAAGCAGAGGGCAGAACAAAGACCAGACCCCAAGGCTGCAGGCCTCAGGCCACTGGGCACGGGGCCTACGCTGCCCTTAGCTATATACTTGGAGGACAGCATTTGCTCAATACATAATTTCTGCATTTTTATTGAAACTGAATGGGTCAACCACAAGGAATGACAGGAGCTTGGGCTGTGTGTAATTCAATCTCTGGAAGGTTTCCTGAAAGTCACAATTCTATTAAGAAGCAGAATAAGAGGGCGCCTGGGTGGCTCAGTCTGTTAAGCAACTGCCTCTGGCTCAGGTCATGATCCCAGAGTCGTGGGATTGAGTCTCACATCAGGAACCCTGCTCAGCAGGGAGTCTGCTTCTCTCTCTGACCTTGCCTCTCTCTCATTCTCTCTCTCTCAAATAAATAATTTTTTTTTTTTTTTTTTTTTTTCAAAAGAAGCAGAATAAGAAAACAGAATCAGGTCGGAAGCACTCCACACGCACGAAGCCAGGCTTCACAATGGCTCTGGGCGATGGTGCTAGGAGCTCTCGCCTCATGAGGGAAAGAAACCTGAGGTCCAGAGAGACGGCCCTTCTTATCCTGTGCTCTTCTCACTATTCTCTACTACCTCCTGGTCACAATTCATTTACTAGTGGCCAATTCGAAGTCTCCCCAAAGCATCTCCCCACATAGTGGTGCCCCAAGCCCAGCGGTTTCACGTCTCGCCCTCCATGGAAACAATTACCTTTGAAAAGTCAGCTTTATCTCCTACAGCAAAATTGTATCACTAAAACACTTAAAACTCATGTTTCCTTATAGTGGCCTCTCAGGGGCTAAACAAATCATTTGTGGTTTCCTTTTCAGAATTAGGTGTTTATCAGTGGATAAAACTGTGGTACCTGGGGAAGTCTTGAGTCCAGAAATTTCTCTGGTAAGTTATTAAACCTAACACACACACACACACACACACACACACACACACACCCCAGTATCAGATAAAAATACTTGCTGTTAAAAATATACCCTACTGGGGCAAAAGGATCAACCCTTCATTTTTTCTTTAAAAAAAGGCAGTAAAATTAGAAGCAATTAAACTTAAGTTCCCTTACAAAAAGAACACGAGAAATGCCCTGACTTGTATACCTGAGGTATGATGGACATTTTCTTCCTTAAATCGTGAAGCCCAATTTCAGTTGTCAAGATTTTATCAATCCAAATTTTACCTTCCGGTTCTGACAACCTAAAAAGGGCCGAGATGAGGGAACTTTTTCCAGCTCCTGTTCTTCCCACAATGCCGACCTGTAAAGAGATCCAGGAGGGATTAAGCGTAACAATATGCCACATACCAGGAGGCACTAGAGTTGTTGAAGATGGATTAAGGAAGTTCTATATTGAATGTGGTGAGAAAGAGTGTCTCAACTTAGGCACTTGTTGACATTCTGGGCTAGATAATTTGTCATCGTAGAGAGCTGTCCTGTACCTTGCAAAATGTTTATCGCCATCCCTGCTCTCGGCCTACCAGATACCAGAAGCACCCCTCAAATTGTGGCAACCAAAAATGTCAGACACTGACAAATGTCCCTTGAGTCTGGGGGCCGGGGGGGGGGGGGGGGGGAAGAGGCAGGCACTGTCCTTGGGTGAGATCCATTTAGTCAAAAGTAAAGTTAAAAATAATACCATTAGGGGCACCTGGGTGGCTCAGTGGGTTAGGGCCTCTGCCTTCAGCCTCTGGTCATGGTCCTGGGGTCCTAAGATCGAGACCCACATCGGGCTCTCTGCTCAGCAAGGAACCTGCCTCCCCCTCTCTCTCTGCCTGCCTCCCTACCTACTTGTGATCTCTGTCAAGTAAATAAATAAAACCTTTAAAAAAAATAATAATAATACCATCAGCCTATCGGCAGTGAAAAACCAACAATTTCCTCAGCAGCTAGTAAGTCGGTTTTAAAATCAGCATTATTCCCAGTGTCTGCGTATTTTGAACCCTGAGAATTTCTTGGAGAATTTTATACAGATATCAGTAAGTGAAAAGCGTTATACATAAACAAGTAATCATTTTCTCAGAATTCTACCACCGAAGAGGAATTATTCTTTGGGAGAACAACCAACACATTTCTGGCTATTACATTCTGTCTTGGAAGAAAACACCTAAAAATTTTAAAATCTAAGTCTCAGGGTTTTAAAAAACAGTAGCCGGTAGCTGAAATACCCCTAATGAGCTCATCGTCATCATCAACAACAACAACACAAATAACATTTGCTTTTTATAGGGGGCCTTTCATCTGAGCAGTTCAAAAGGCATTTTGCAAAGTAATTAATACTCACAATTACCCCCTTGGGAAAGATACGTGTCCAGTATCAGTCTGGTTATTAGAACCGAAGCAGAGAGAAATTAAATGCGGTGACAAGATCAAAGAGCAAATATAAAACAGGTAAAATGCCGGTCAGGAACGAAACTGTATTATATAAAATTGATTTTTAGTTGTGAGCATTTAAACCTTTATGCAGAAACTGACCTTTTTTTTTTTAAACAGCAATGAGCTTGCCCAACACCTAGCTATAAATTCCCTGGTGGGAGCTTCCCAAGAGATGATGTCATCCTAACTAGCTATCTGGAATCAATGACGGCTGTAAGACATGCTTTCGAGCATTTGTAAATTCAGTACATTTTTAAAATGAATTTTTAAATTAAATTAAAATTTAAATTTTAAAATGTACTACCGAGAAGAACTTTCAGAGCACTGATTCTATGCTGGGAACGTTGCATATCATCTCAGTGGAATACTTCCAAAGCTTTAAAGTTTCACGTGTGTAACTACTGATGGCCTTTCAAAAAAGAGCCTAGCTTTACAGGAATAAATATAAGGGAAGTGGCTTTGCCTAATTTTATCATCTGTTTATCATCATTTCACAGATGGGTCATTTTCTGCCCATGAGTAGGTCCAAATGCGCGCACGCGCGCACACACACACGTATATATCTCCTGGGTTTCTCAATGTACATTGAGGTAAAGTTGTTCTCAAATGTGTATCAAGACATATCACAACACAGACACAAATTGTGTCTCTGAGAATGTGTGGATGTTCCCAGGCTTTCATCACTCCAACTAAAACCACCCCATCTGTGCAAACTAGAACGTTTGCAGACTTTTCATAAAGGGCCGCGATACGGCAGGGGGCACGGAGGGCTGCCCACAACCACAGGACTGTGATCTTCAAACTCAACTGAGAATAAACACCAAAAGGCAATTCAAAGAAAACCGGGTTCTAGCTATCTCTCTCTCCTGTTCAGTCATCCAAACGGTAGCCCGTGTCATTTGCACTGCACCAGTGGGCTTTACCAACTTCCCATGGAGAATATCGCCACTATCAGTAAGTTTACACACGCAAAACCAAAAAAATACTTCAAGATATTCTCATTTATGCTGATTTACAATTAACCCTATACATTTGCCCAAAGAGGCTGAGGGTTTCTGGAAAAAAAAAAAAAAAAATGTCTTTTTTTCCTCAGTTTGAAAATTTGTATTGGCGTGTTGTACGTTGAGACATTTCTATCTGGATCTCTATAGATCAAACTCAACATAATTAAGAGCCAATTTCCCTTTCAAAACAGTTGCTTTTCCTAACTTCCCCATCTTAATCCCGTAACTTCTTTTCTAGGCTCGTGGGCTCAACATGTTCATCCTACTTCTAGCTTCCTCCGCGCCCAGGACGGCACCAACCCCTACTAAAGATTCTACCTCTGTAAGCTTTCCTGACTCAGTCCATCAGCAGAGCGCAAGGCTGCATGGCATCTGAAAACACAAAACCAACTCTTCTTAATTATAATCAGTGCAAATGAATGTAAAAAGTCAATGGCTATTAGTCATAACCCCAGCACTTTGATTTAAAACCATTCTACAGATGACAGATTTTCTTTCGGGACCTATGTGTATGTGTGCTTAAAGATACAAGCTCACAGACTTAAACAAAATGAGATTAATATAAACCAAATGTAGTAAACTGTTTGCACTTAGTATTTCAACAGAATATTTTAATAGCCACATAATATTAGATTTTATGTGATCATTTATTTAACAGACTCCCCTATTTGTGGCTATTTCGGCTGTGTCCAATATTTTGCTATTATAAATAACTGTTAAATATCCTTGAAGCTAAATCTTTACAAACAACTCTAATTACTTCCTTAAGATAAATTCTTAGGGGCGCCTGGGTGGCTCAGTGGGTTAAATCCTCTGCCTTCGGCTCAGGTCATGATCTCAGGGTCCTGGGATCGAGCCCCACATTGGGCTCTCTGCCCAGGAGGGAGCCTCCTTCCTTTCCTCTCTCTCTGCCTGCCTCTCTGCCTACTTGTGATCTCTGTCAAATAAATAAATAAAATCTTAAAAAAAAAAAATTCTTAGATGTGGAATTGCTGAATTCCATGAAAACTGGTAGTTTTGATTCCCACCTGCTTCTCTACATGCTCACAAGCTTGGGGGTTATAACAGTGCTTTATTTTTATATATTTTTAGAGATAGTGTGAGTGAGTGCAGACGTGAGCAGTGGGGGAGGGGCAGAGAGAGAGAGAGAGAATCCTAAGCAGGCTCCATGCCCAGCACGGAGCCTCGATCTCAGGACCCTGAGGATCCTGACTGCTCTGAGCCGAAATCAAAAGTGGGACGCTTAACTGACTGAGCCACCCAGGCACCCCTATAACTTTGTTTTAACTGACATCAGTTTGATTCCAACAAGCGGACTCACTTTCCCCATTACATCTTGGTAGGAGTACACAGTAGCTACTGGCTTCCTATCTCCTGCCTCTTCCCACCATGGTCCATGTGTGCTCACTTCTTGGACCATGTTTCTGCAGAATAGCTCTGTGCCCTCCCAGGAAGTCCCTTCTAGAAAAGCACCCCCACTGACTCTGCATCCTTATATTGCTGGGAGTCAGCTCTCTCGGGATTCCTAGGAAGTGGCGAGAGTTACATGTGCAAGCGCTGTGCCACGTCACCTGGGGCTCAATCCCTCATTTGCAGGGGGACGGCATCGTGCCTTTGCTGATGCTGGTCCCAGAACCCTGAAGGCTCTTTCCATGCATGTCCACCTGCTGAGATCCTGCCCATGTGTCACCAAGTCCATCTCAAATGCCTAAGTCCTTGCAAATGCTCTTCCTGCCCCCGCATGTGGCCTTCTCCAACGCCACAGAGGCAGGTCACCTTTTTCTAAACTTTGATAAAAACTGTGACAGCCTTCTAGCTTATCTAGTAGCCAATTTTATACAACTTTCCTTGTTCTCCTAGACGGCAGGCTCTGTCGTAGATTCACCTTTGCACACTTTTTATTATTATATGTGGCATCCTGTATGGAACTGAGGTGGTTGAAGTCAGGACAGACTAATTTATGGAAAACCTGTTGCCACACTGTTGGGGTCTAGGATAGGGGCCAGGGAAGACAGACATGGCCAATGGATCTTATCACCATAGAAACTAATGCAAACGGCAGACGACAGCTTCTGCACTGGAAGTGGTTATGGCCAGGTCACGCCCCAAGGCAGTGACGGCTACGGTTGTCCAAACATCTGTCTGGCAGCAGCCTTGGAGCTGGGGGGGTCCCCTCCTGTTGGAAGTGTACGACCCTAGATGACCTATCACTTTCATTTTGCAGAAGATCAGAGGGAGGCGTAATAAGACTAATTAGCCTGCCTGGAAGAACGGAGCCAGGAAGGGGCAGAATGGGACACAACACCAGGTCTGCTCAACGCTTGCCCATTCCACCGGTGCCCTCCTTACACATGGATGGCCTGGCAGCTCATTACATCCCTGTGGGGACAGGACAGGTGTGGCTGAAATCAAGCAACTGGCCTCTCCTGATCCTACCACCTGACACTCAAGGCGTGATGCGGTTATGGGGGAGTCTACTGTGGAGGATGGGACAGAAGGCCTGACATCTCTGAGCAAAAAGGATACCTGTGGTTGGCGGGGCACCTACAGCCAGAGTGAGGAGAAGGCACAGGGTGCTTGGGAAACAGGACACACAGACCTATGGCCCTGGCTTGTGCCGTGAGATGAATTTTTCATCCCAGCAGGTGGTAAAAGGGTCTCAGACATATTGCTACACTTGGTGGTCAGTGACTGCGGGCCCAAGCAGGGCCCAGCCTGATACAATACTGATGGACCCTGCAGGGCGGTGCTGGGGAAAGGCCGTAGAGCAGGAGGAACGCTGTCTTTGATGCAGAAAGACTCCACCAAGAGACAAATAGATGCATAAACTTAGAGTCATAGAGAATGAAATTATAATGGAAATTCACAACTGGCAGAATATAAAAGTAAATAAATCTATAGGGTGGGGACAGAGAACTTTCTAGAGCGTCACGATCAGTTACAGGGGCTGGGATAATTCATGAGCCCAATTTCAAATCGTCAAAGGACACTTCTTGGAAATCATGAGTTACAGTCATGTACAACTGCCTGTGGGAGAGAAGACTTTTGGGCAGGGCAGGGGCTCAGAGATAAGACGACTGGGTGGGCCCGAGAGTCAGCATTTCCAAGATACTCCCAGGTGACGCAGGTACCACAGACTGGGCAGCAAGGAATCAAAAAGTCAGCAGGGGAAGTGAGACTGACTGGAGGGAGGTGAGGGGTTTCTGAGAAGATATTATGTAAAAGAGGAGAAGATGTAGGAAACTAATACTTTTGCACATTATAGCAAGGTCTGGTACACATCTGTAAAAATGTATTATCCAAGTAATAGCTCTGAGCAAGAAAAAAAATAACAAACCAAAATCAATCTACCTCTAGAGCTGGAAAATGCTTTAAAATGGCCCAGTACTCTTTAAAATGATCAAATCAACCACAAAATCATCTAAATGAAAAATGCAGCCAGTGTTTAGAATCTAACCAGGAAGCCTAGGGTGCTATTTACCTCATTTTGGTTTATTTTTACTTGTTATTTCTTCCATGAATTAGAAACCTGCTTAGTACTTATTACGTTTTCCTGTTTACTATCACTTCGAGGAATCTGGACAGCAGAGGAAAATGCTGGAACAGAATAAAGCCCCATCTCTCCTGTGTTGGCCCATTCCCCCTGTCGACCCTGCAATAGTCTGCCCCAGTCAAATACACCAGAGGACGGGGACAGTGGTATCCCCGAATAATAGGGCTGGGGCTGGGTGGACAGGAGACAAAACCGGCCGTGACGTCACTTCATGACTCCGCGGCCTGCATATAGTCGCTAATTACTTAAACCAAGCAGAAGGGGACACTGTCCGTGGACCAAGACACAAACCAAACGATACCATTGTTATTATAACTGTCTCCAAATTCAATCCCCCCAAAACTGTATAGTCTCAGATAATCCTACAATTTGGGGAAGGGGAGTGTTTACGATGGAAAAGTACACACCTGTTATATTTCTAAGTCGTACCAGAGTTTCTCAGGTGATTCCATGTATAGCTTCGAGGGAAATTTAAGATGCGTGCAAATTAACAGAATTCTGTCTAGCATGGGTATCCTGATGGACACACGGTCTGCAAGGAAGCAAGCATCCCTGACCGCGCTCGGAGAGACGGAACCAGCCACGGTGAACGGTCTCGGGACCCGGCCGCCCTTACTGCCCTCCGGGTCTGCACATGGGGCTGGAAATCACGCGCAGCTGGCTTCTGCCACGTGATGCACTAAAGTTGCTCCCTGGGTATCATTTGAGTAGTAAGTTGAACATTTATTCTTTCATATCACAAGGGTATCATCATTATATTACGGCCACAGTCCACTAAATGGGTCTGGGAGAAAGAGCTGGCAGGTCTCTAAGTATTTAACACATCTGGGCAATGGGCTGTTTCTGGGAGCTGTCTGGAATGCATGTTTTTGTGACAGGCTGGTTTCCCCCCTCTGTATTACTAACTTACCGCCCCCACTGGCAGACCGTCAGCACCCACCACGTGCCCAGCACAACGCCACTTTTGGGGGACCAAAGACAAAAAGCAGCAGCCTCTGGGTGCCGTGAGAACCAGAGCCCGAACCACAAAGCTCACTGTAAGCGCTACCTTTTACTTTCTCATTTTCATTTTTTATTCTTTTTTTAATTGCGGTAAAATGCACGAACCAAAAACCTCAGGGGTGTGGTTCAGTGGTGTTAAGTACACTCACGGCGTCGTGCCAACATTCTCCAAAATGCTTCTCGTCCTTCGAGACTCAAACTCGGTGCCCGTTAAATAACCAACTCCGCCTTCACCTCTCCCCCGGCCCCTGGCGATCGCCGTCCTACTACTGGTCTCCACTGGATCTGAGCAGGTCAGGAACCTCGTGTAAGTGGGATTAGACAGTATTTGTCCTGCTTTGTCCTCGAGCTTATTTCATTGAACGCAACGTCCTCGAGGACTTTCCATGGGTCAGCAGTCGCCTCCTCCTAAGGCTGGATAATATTCCATGGTAGGGATGTACTACATCTGCTTATCCATTCCTACGCTGATGAACCGCTTGGGCTGCTTCCATTTTTGGCGTTCGTAATGCCGCCATAAACACAGGCGTACGGTAGATGTGGTTGTTTAAAAATATGTAAGATGCTGTGGGAGAATTAAGGGTCTCACAGAGGCAGACGCATCAGAGCTGACTGGAAATGAGTCGGCTTTCACCAGCCAGACCACAGAAGGGCAGGGTCTCTTGAGGGGGAGGGACAATGTGCGCATCCTGGGGACAAGGAGAGTGGGAGGCTTTGGAGAAGCTACACACGAAATACCCACATGCGGGGGTTGGCATGCTAGGAATTATGGCTGGAGGGCGCCTGGGTGGCTCAGTCAGGTAAGCCTCTGCCTTCGGCTCAGGTCATGATCTCAGGGTCCTGGGCTTGAGCCCCGCATCAGGCTCCCTGTACAGTGGGGAGTCTGCCTCTCCCTCTGCCTGTCTACCCCCTGCCCCGGCTAGTACCATCTCTCTCTCTTTCTCCGAAATAAATTTTAAAAAGAATTTAAGGAATTGAGGCTGGAGAGGTAGATGGGGAAAGAGCTTCCTCCAGTCTCATCTGTTCTGGTTCCACAGATTCTTCAAGGGCCTGCCCCGGTGTGGGTTGAGGGACCCGGGTCCCACCTCTGCGGGACAGAGACACTGCCAAGTGCAGGTCACAAACCTCTTAGTGGTCTCCTGCGTGAATCAGCCCCTGCTCCCTTGGGTTTCCTTTCACCGACTTTGGGCCCTTTTCTGCCTCCCGCTGGGGGCTCTGGCTCAAGCCCTGACTGGGTCACAGATTCCAACCTCTTCTCTGGTGGCTGAAGCCAGCTGTGCAGCTCCAGCTCGAGTGGACCTGGGGCCTCGCTACGGTTCCGCCCTCCGCGTGCCCAGCCTGGGAGCTATCAGGAGGCCCCGTAAGAATAGATCTGTGTTTCAGAAAGAAGCAGTCCACAGGTGGGAGACAGGGGAATACGGGTTACGGGAGGGCAAGTCTCCGGAAAGGGACAGGGACGGGGGCTGTAATAGAGGCTTCCATGGAGGAGGAAGAGAGGGATTTGAGAAATCGGAAGAAGTAAGAATAGGTAGGAGATAGATATTGAAAACATTAGTGATGAGGAGCGAGGGTCGACTACCAGGTCTCAGGTATGAATAATTAGAGTATCCTGGGTCAGCCCACCAAGCGCCATAAGGGAGCTCACGATACAAGAACAGTCTGGCATCCCCATTCCATGGTTAATTTCCAAGACTCCCCAGTAGGCTCACCCAACCGAAATTATATCCACAGAGGCACTAGGTGCCCCCTCCCCCCCTCACCCCTGACACATTCACCAAGAAGCCAACAAGCAGATGCAGTGTTAAAGCTTCCATGGAAATCTTAAAGAGGCAAGATGGTTTAAACAAACCTTTTCCTTTGATTTAATGAGTGCTGTCAGGTGCTTCAAAACCAGAGGCCCATCTAAACTGTAGGAGAAGTTAACGTTATCAAAGACGATCGTGCCGTCTTGGGGCCAGTTGGGCGGAGGGCGGTTCTGGTACTCCCAAGGGGCTTCTTTCTCAAGGTCTGTATACTCCATCACCCTTTCCACTGAAATCATCTGAAAGACAAAGGACACCACATGGCTTAGGAACGGAGCTCTCACAGGTGTTCAGAGATTATAAATGAACTGTTGATCTTTTATACTAGCTGGTTAGGAACATCTCAGGTCTCAATATTCCCAAAGGACAGGAGGACGAGTCTGATGAGGACGCTTTGATGATTTACAAACCTGTGCACCGTCTCGTAACACTTTCCCTGAGGTCTACTTCCTTCAGCGCTACATTAAAACTAAAAGAACTACAGAATTAGAGATTCTTAGAGGATGCTGGAGATTTTATTTTTCCACTTTTTTAAAATTTTATTTTTTCTGAACAAAAAGCACAAGGATTTTATCAAAAAGAAAGGGATACTTGTAGCCAACAATCCAGAATCTGGCCACAGAACAGCCACCTGTGTTGGGGAGCTGAACTGGCTAAGTCATCCAGTCTCATTTTAATGATGAGTCACTTTCTCCTCTATCAGAAGAGCACACGGGAAAGATTTCTTGTTCATTGTTTTTCTCTTGATGAGAAGGCACTAATACTCCAAGGAGGAGATAATTTACTTACTGACTGAGGCCTCCTAACCAACCATCCCGACACCTTTGACTAGCGCACTCCAAGAAAGAGCTTATTCTACCAGAAAAAAAGGGATGCCAGCAAATTCAGGTGCACAACACGTACAAGCATAAATGCTAAACCAGGGGAGGGCGCACGCAAGGGGAGACAGATATTAATTAAACAAACAACCTCAAAACACTGAATTCTTCTTTTATCAGGAATGAGGAATTGCCCATTAAGAAACAAAAATAAACAGGCCTCCAAGAAATTAGCTTCTATCCTCTCCAGGGTTTCAGAAACTCCCTCCCACAGAGAGAGAGACATTTATTACATTTGAAGACAGTTTGTGGCGGATGTAAAACCTGCTGACATAGCACACAGAAGACTGAGAAAAAGATGTATATATTTTATTTTACGTTAACCTTAAACAGATGGAAGAGGGATCTAAAAAACTTGGTTAGCTACGATGTAAAAATAACAGTTTTAATATTTTACATAAGAAGCGCTTTTATGCCATTGAATGGCGGGGAGACTTGAAAAAGCTCAGAACATTCAAATAAACATTACCATATTCTCCACTTCGGCGCTCTGCCGGACGCACCACTGGAACATCCCCATGAGGGTGAGGGCGTAGGACAACGCCAGGCCAACCTGCCCAGCATCTACAGCTGAAAGAGGAAGAAAAAGTGGGAATAAAATTAGTTCCGCACAGGTCCTTCTGTCAGCTTACCAACAAGATTCCTCTATCATGTTTAAGTACTTTGTCTATCACGATAGCAATAGTTCTACTTTTACTATCTGATGACTGAGACTACAGTAAAATAGAAAAGTCACAATAAATTAAGAAAGGCTATTAAATGAGCTTATTAATCCCAACAGGATTGACACACACTTGACTGTATGCCAGCAGGGAGAAATAACGGCATTATTGAGACTCCCAGCATGACGGTTTCAAGAACCCCGGTACCAAATTTCACTTTCTACGGCCAATGCAACCGTAGTTGGAAACCACTAAAAACAAGGCACTGGGTTCTAAGAGCCAAGGCTTTTAAATCGAAGCCATTACGCTCACTGTCCCATTATTAAGTATTGTGAGTCAGCGTTGTTACTGTGGAATAGTTAGGGATAGTGAATGTGTGCCACACACGCCAACACCTGCTCTTCGGGTACCCACCTAGCAGGGAGGAGAGTGTTCTTTCCTGCTTAGGATCTTTCTCAACCTAGCGTACCAGGCAGGGATGACCAAGAGAGCCGAATAACCCTAACGTGAAAACTTAAAGCCCTAAGTGGACAAAATGCCCAAGAGAAAACTTGGTTCTCTCCTCACAGCAACCAGACGCCACACCAGGAATGTACAGAAAATTAGCTACTACACCGGCACGGTCCTCAACCTGTCTGAAGACAGAAGGACCTCATCGGGATACAAATGACCGCTCTGCGCGGACCACGCTGCTGGATCACACCCGACCTGCCACACGGCAAAGGCTTCTATGTGATTCATTAGAACTAAACAGTACATGGCATTGGACAAGGTGGCAAGAATTTAATTTAATAACTGTAAACGCAGCTATAAATTGTAGTCATACCACAAATAGTTCTTCACATCTGTACTCACTCGTTGCTAGAATCAAGGACCCAAAGGCAATAATAATGACAAAGATGGCGCAGATGGCATCCAGACGTACGGCGAACCATCGGGACGTCGTCAGGAACAAGAACCATGCCTCTGGGTTTGGAGAAGCATCATAAGCGAAAGGAAGAAGGAGAAAAAACCAGATTCACTGCTCTGAATGAGGGAGAGCATTTTGCAAGGGTGAGCTCCGGGAGATTTTTACACAACATGGACAGCAAAGTTCCACACGTGAGGAACCAGAAGGTTCCAGAAAGCTAAGTTCTGACACAAGACGATGTACAGTCCAAGCAGGAATTGGTACAGTGGCTTTGTGGGAAGCAATGCATTGAAAAATTCAACCCAGAGATTATAAACAGAAATAGGATTAATAAAAAATACATGGAAAAATGGGCTCATCAGTACATTTGTCACAGCACCAGAACTCAGCGTGAAGCTTGTCCTCATACCTGGTTTACTGTTCCTGGTTCTCTGGTAGCAGAGAGCACAGCTCCCACTTTGTTTCCAGCACCTCCCATACTTACTAGAGGGCCCTGCACACAGTGTTTATTCCTTAGGATCCGGTATCTCAGGGATCACTTTAATAAAAGTACCTACTTGCAGCCTTCAAAATGCCATCTTATCTTCAAAATACAATAAAGATTGGAAAGATGGGCCAGGATTTTATAAACTTAGAGGAAACTCTGAAATTTTTAATAGCAAAAGACCTCACAGATGCAAAATAATACATATCAAGTGGTAGCAAATCTGATCATCAGGAAACTGATTTCCTCAGCAACTCCTGTCACCCCGTGGGCTCTGAAAATAAGAACTGGCAAACTGGCAAACTGTGGGCCAAGAATGGCCCGCGACCTGTTGTTGTAAATAAAGTTTTATTTGAACACAGCCATGGCCATTTGCTTAGGGACTATCTTTGCCCGTGTTCCTGTTAGAACAGCGATGTTCAAGAGCTACAATAGACAATGAAGTACAAAAAGTCGAAAACATTTACTATCCGGGTCCTTACAAAAAAAATTGACTGACCCCTGCCCTAAAAGGACAGAAAGCCACAGGGTGTGGTAATGGAAGGACAATGCAAGGCCCTCAGAGGGTGGGGCGTGGGGTGAGGGGAAGCGGTGGTGTCCCAGGGGAATGGGGACACACATAGGAGATTCTGAGGAATCATGGCCGAGAGGAGGGGACGAAGACATGCTAAGGAATGATGGGGGGCTGGGTCAGGGGGAGACCGAGAGAGAGGAACTGACCACTAAGGACAAGAGAGGGAGCCTATCCCATTCTCTGAAACCATTTCCAGCAACTTACAGACCTGAATGCAAATCCTGGTGAGCATCGAATAGTTCCTGGAACCTCTCCTCAGCTTTATATGCCCGGATGGTCCAGAGTCCCTGGAGAGAGGACGACAAGTGGGAGAACACCGGACTCCGTGCTGAGGAAGTGGAGACAGAAAGTCGGTGAGGCTGGATGTGGGGAAACAGCTGCCTCCCATGCTCTGTGGCTACCTGAACCCCCAAACCCAGAGCTCTGCCATGATGGCTGCCTGGGGAAGACTGGACGGTGCCGCCTCCTGGAGACGAACACGTCAACCCTCAAACTCCTGGTCACACCATTGCATTAAAGACCTGAAAAGCAAGTTTCGCTTCGAACCAATCTGACCAAATTCAAGTCCTTGCTAGATCTGAATAACTGAATTCCTTCTTTGCTAACTCATTTGTCAAGGTCTTCCTCAGACATGGCCCCCCTCCATAACACTTCCCTGATAGCCCTCTGGGAGGAAATTCTGTCTAGTAACTTTTGAGTCACCAACGTTCTTACATTTAATTCTGCTACAATACTCACCACACCGAATTATGAACACCTGTCTGTGTGCCATGTCCACTACTGGACTACTAACATAAGGGCCGGGATAACGTCAGCACATCCCTGAAAATGTGACAGGTGAGGGATGTGTGAAGGGACTGGTCAGGCTCCCACTCTCCCTGCATTCCCGGGTATCTCCCTGTGTCTGCTCCTGCGCCAAGAGTCTCTTTCTGGAATAACAGAGAACCTGGGTATTGTACTGCCCTTGTGCCCACAGGGCCTGGGCGGCCATGGCACCTATGAAGAGTCTTGACTTTGGTTGGGGGCGTCTGCCGTGCTGGACACCTGGTGTTCAGAGGTCACCACGGGACACTAACATTGATCACTCTTTCAGAACCTGACCGTGGCCTTAGTGGCCACTCTCTTCTGAATAACTTCATGTGGGTTTGAGGCCTGATGTCATCCGACCAGTCATTCATTGCCCTGCCACCCTCTCTAGGAGCACACTGTATGTGGACACCAGGTCTGGTCCCTGCCTCTCAGAGAAGACGTGGGCTGCAGGCTGGTGGGCATCAGGAATGAGGCCATGACTAGCTATTGTCAGGGGCAGGGCTGCGAGCCTGGGGCCTCTCTCTGGGACGAGTAACACCTTGTGCTTTATCGGCAGGTAACACTAACTTACACTTCGTTACCTGTGCACATCCTAGAGGAGAGCCTTAGTAAAATCCCAGGCCAATGGAAGATCACTTATCTCATGAGAGGCTGCAGAGGTTTTATGAAATGATGGGGAGAAACAACTGAGGGGAAAATGCAAACTTATTTTGGAGCCTGACTCCTGAGCCTGGCATCCGGATGTCTCTCTGTGTGAGCTCAGTCAACGCCTCTGTGCACGTGGCACTGCAGGTATGGGTGGCGGGGCGGGGGGGAGTGGGTGTGGTGGTGCTGGGTACAAACGTGCAGACGCAGGACCTCCTCTGACAGCTTAGTGACCACGGCTCCTCAAGCAAGGATAGAGCAGGCTTCTCCGTGAGACACTGGGGTTTAGAGAAGATAGGACGTGTTGGGCTATGGGCCTCTTTGCTGACTGGGATAGTAACAGATAAGGGCCCTTGCCTGGGATGCTGTTTTAAGGAAAAAAATCTTCTCTGAACGGAGGCATGAGCTAACATTTCCCCTTGTATCTACTTTAGGCAAAAAAGCCTTAAGTGAACTCAACGGTGGTTTGGACCATCCTGTTGTGGGTTTCTGATCTAGGATGACACCACCTTATACCAAGGAACCTTATACCAAGGAACCTTTGGCTTTCAAGCATTTTAACTTCCGTTAAATCTGTACTTTTAAGACAGTATGAACATAAGGGACCAAGCCCATGTTCTAAATAAGAAAGGCTGGAAATTCTGAACAGGCCTTTTTTTTGGCACTCCCTAGCACATCCCCAGAACATAGTGAGGAAATAGGGCACTCAGGAGAGCTCCAGGCCTACCAAGAAAAGTACCAAAAGTCCAGTTCCAGAAAGCACAGAGAACTCACTAGAACCATGTCCCCATTTCCTGAGCAAATGTTGGGACATACACAGTTTTAGCACAGACATTTGTGAGAAGGAAGGAGATATGGCCTTTCACTCAGGCAGAGTCCTTGAATGAAATGCTTCCCCACTGGCCATCCCCACTGGCTTCCCTCATCAGGAGATCAAGGCTGTGGTTGATTTTTCTCTGGAAAGGTTTCAGGACAGGGTCAACTTCAGAAATCAGGGGCCATCCCAGCCTTGAACATCAGGGAACCCAGAGACCACAGCACCAACTTTACCTTAGACCCAAGAGTTACAAGTGGTACAGCAGGGTTCTCTACCTGGGAAAAGCGATCCTGTTTCTTTCACATCCCACTTAGGACAGAGTGGGATGCCAGGTTGAGTGAACTGGAGGGTTTGCAATGAAAATTAACCAGCTCCACAGAGGGAAACGGAGTGCTAAGGTTCTGGTACATTCCCTTGCCCAACAGAACGCCTTTCTCCCCACAGCGACTGAGCCGGCTATCCTGAAGTAGAGTTCTATGACACCCGTGGCATTAGACAAATGCAACCCAGCCTTTCATGAGACTGATGACTGCGTGTCCCACAACCCTGAGGACTCTTTGGGACACACCCTACAAGGACTGCAAACCCTCCCCAGCAGGGAGAGGGCAGGGAGCTGCCTCAAGGACCTGGCCTCCAGCCCAGCTGTAGGTTATCATCTAGGTTGGGTGAAGCCTGCTGGTTGTTCTTAATTTCCTCATGTTCAAGGTTCTAGCACCTTTCCACATGGCCAAGAAGCGCTTTACAACCATCAACACAAACAACCCTCACGAGAGCCCCAGAGGGCAGGTGCTATGATATCCTTGACAAAGGGCAAAGTACAAAGTAGGCAGAGGGATTAAGAACATTGGCCAACCCAAGTGGTAGAGGTGGGGGTCAGACCCAGCTCTCATTCCTGAAGCTGCTCTTCTTCAACACTGCCACAGGGTCTCAGAGGAACAATAGTCAGGTTAAATCAAGATGCCAACGTATAACTAAATGCATTTTTCTCCAGACTTTGTAGTTTAAGTTTAGAAAACCCCAAGAATTGTACTTAGTGCATATCTAGTAGCCTACCCTTTACTGTAGGTCTTATCAGGTACCTTCAGTTGAACAAAGCCCCTGGAAATCCAGCATGAGAACTAACAGCAGCGGACTTGGGCAGCTACGGTCTGAAACCTGGAACACACGGTTAGCCCTCCCCCACGATGCCCACGGCAGACATTGCTAGTCGATCACAGTACCCTTACACACGGAACTGGGATGCGGCTTCCTAACTCAGGCATGGCCAAACGATGAGAGCTGGCTAGAAAGTCGCAAGCAAGTGGATCCTGGTTTTATGCAGGTAGCCTAGAGCTACCAGGCTCACTTTTGCAAAAACGGGAAACCATTACGATCGGCTACAAATGAACCATTCAAGTGGTTTCAATTGTGGGCCTGAGCTTTCAGAGGCAGCTAGGCAGCATGATCTGAAAGTCATCTGCGAATGTCAGCAGTCCTTTCAAAGCCCACGAAGGAAGAAGATTTATGCCTGGTAGCCATAGCAATCAGGTATCCTCCTTTTAGCCTCCTTTTTGCTGGTGGATCCAGCAGTGGCCACAAGAAATACTATCACTTACCTCTTAGAGAAAACAAAAGAATTGTTATTTATGGCACAACCTGCAACCCAGATAGATGACAACAAATGGTTCTAATCAAATGGCCACCAACATTTGGTCATCTGGGTGTGCAAAGGAAGGAATATGTGTCCTTAATGTCTGGGGGTGTGGGAATAGTCCACATTATTTCCAAATATCCTACAGGGTCCATGCTAACGTTCTCAAAACCTCCAGATCAAGCTCTGGACAAATGCTATACTGTTCCTTGAAGAAGGCTCAGGGGATCCTCTTCTTATTCCAAACTCCCCGTCTTAATAAACCCGAGACCTCCTTCGGAACAAGTCTGATGATGACAGACTCCATGTCACGAGTGGCCTCCAACCATAAAGGTCTGAAGCCTTGTTGTTTACATGGAAGACTGGGTGGAGCTCATTACTTATTCCTTCTGCCGTCTCCACGTCCCGCCACGGTACCATCGCCTCAGCCCGCTGGCCCGCACATCTGGACAACACTGCCCCGCCACCCCAAGGAAATCCCTTACAAAACCACACCTCATAGCTCAGCTGGTTCTCCGAGGACTAAAAAATTTGTCTACAGCTTTTATGAAATCAATGTCCATTATCCTTTATGTAAATGCTTATGATAAATCCCTCTCAAAAATTTATTATTGGGGCACCTGGGTGGCTCAGTGGGTTAAAGCTTCTGCATTCAATTCAGGTCATGATCTCAGGGTCCTGGGATCGAGACCCACATCGGGCTCTCTGTTCGGCGGGGAGCCTGCTTCCCCCTCTCTCTCTGCCTGCCTCTCTGTCTACTTGTGATCTCTCTCTCTCTGTCAAATAAATAAATGAAATCTTTAAAAAAAAAGTTATTATTAACCAGGGCCATTAAGCATCCAACTCGAATTCTGCTCAGGTCATGGTCTCAGGGTCATGAGATCGAGCCCCACGTCAGGCTCCACACTCAGTGTGGAGCTTGCCTGGGATTCTCTCTTTCTCTCTGCCCCTCTGCTGCCCTGCACATGCTCTAAAGCAAAACGAAATTTATTTAAAAATAAACACGCATACGTCATAACAACAACAACAAAAAAACACTCTATGCTGACGAACTAGTATTTTTCCACTTGGTGGATCCAAGAACCATGAGACCCAATACTTCTCTTTTTAGCTTGACTTTCAGAAAGATCAGTTGGTATTAACACACAGTAACTATCCATAGTTGAATTTTCTGATACAAACATCTTCCTTCTTCATATTTAGGACTTTACACCCCCTTTTTTTTGTAAATACACCAACCGACTCGCCTTGTGATTTTTTTTTACTAATAGCGAAATATGTTTGTGCATGAATGCGATAAGCTCTGAATTACTTCATCCTCTGTGATTAGCTGTGTTTTCCCATTATTCCAAAACTAGGAAGTTGAATAGAAAACAAAATGAATGCATACTGAGCAGAACCCTCTCCTGTGCCCTCCCAAGGGAATTATATTCAGGACCATTTATAGGTACAGCCTAAGGAGAGGGGGGAAAACTTCAAACAGTGTGGCATGACAGGAAATACCAGTGATAATAAAGAGTGTGTGAAAATAACAGTGCTTATCTTTTCAAAACATGTAACAACCGCAACTTTTTTGCCATTTTTTGAGTCTGTGATAGTAATATATTTTTCAAATGTATCACTTCTGACATACGACACCTTCTTCTCCCTTGTCTAATCTTTCCCTTTGTCATTTCTAGAACCTTCGGGGGAAGAAAAATTCCCTATTTTCACTCTGTGTTAGTTCCAGCGTGAAATATTTCTTTAAAAACATTTCTCGAGTGCCTTCTCCATGTCTGGAAGTACATCATAACCAAGAGAGAAATGGCCCCTATCTTCACGGAGCTCACAGTCCAGTAGAGCTTTATTGCACAGACATCCTTGTCTTGTCCCTTCCTGGTGTTCCTGCAAAGCTGCACCTGGTGGGCCACCAGTTCCATTGGCCCTAAGCGTCACACTGACTCACAGTGGACATCATATTCGATGATTTAATACTAACTTGGAGGGAAAAATCTGGAAGGTAGAGTCTGCACAGTTTCAGGGGTCTCCTTAATTATGGCATAAAGGAAGTGAGCCCGTATCACCATCCCAACCTGAGAGCCTCTGTACTCACTTGTAGATTCCAGGCGTTTGACATCTCTCGACGTTTCTAAGAAATACCACCGAAGAACAAAGAAAAGGATGCCAAGGGGAATCAGAGGAATTGTGATCCACGGAATGACAGCCACCGCCACACCCACCACACCAAGAACTTGTAGAAATGTCTGAAACAGGGAAAACAGAGACAGAGGCCTTCTTAGGAAGAATTCACTTCAAACATGGACTTTAATGGTTGTTTTGTTAGGATTCAAAGACCTGTTGGAATGGAAGGGAATGTTCTCCCATCAAAGAAATAACAGAATATTACAGGTGGTCCTGAGGATAGTTATCGCATACTTGTGATGTGCCAAACATGATAAGTACTTTCTAGATACGAGTTCTCCTAACATGCTCAGGAGGCCTAGGAGAGCGGCCTTACAAACTTCCCTATTTAACAAATGAGAAAGTTGGAGACTCAGAGAGACCAGGACTTGAATCCCAAACTATCGTGAGTCAGTAGATACTGTCAGGGAAATCAGTGAGTGGGACTCACCGATGAGGAACCCCTAAGATTCAACTACACATGTAGGGATAAAGAAGTGGCTCATTACAAATCCAGTGGGAAAGTGCAAGTGCATACCTTTAGAAGTGGGGACTCCCCTTTCTTGGTTTTCTATCCACAATTAACATTTACTGAGTGTTCACTGCATACAGGGCTATCCGTTATGTATTTCACATGTGTTAACTTATTTAATCCTCAGAATAGCCCTATAGAATACTGGCACTATCTCATTTTACAAACGGAGACTGAAGCACAGGGAGAGGAAAAGCGACTTGATCAAGACTGCAAAGCCTGAGTCACAGAGACAGGGAGCCCACATCATTAGCCGTCATGATCTATTTAAGCCAGCCCTTGACATAATGCCACTTTTCATTGTTTGGGAATACAGTCTTGACTTATTTGATCCCCCTAATTTGTCCTTAATTTTTCCTCTAAAGACCTTACTTAAGAGATCTCAGAGTTCACCAGCATGCCTAATAAAGAAAGAAGAGGAATACAAGGCAACCCATTTTTGGTATTTCTTAGAAATCTGATGAAGAGTTTTGATAAAAAGGAAACACAGGTCTTAAAAATTGTTTTTAAAGTTTTATCATTCGCACCAACAGACACATGAAAAAGTCCTTGACATTACTAATCATGAGGGAGATGCAAGTCAAAATCCGTGATGAGATACCACCTTCTACCCCTCAGAATGGCTAGTATCAAAAACACAGGAAATTACAAGTATTGGTGAGGATGTGGAAAAAAGGGAACGCTCACGCATCATGGGTGGGAACGCAAACTGGTGCAGCCGCCGTGGAAAACGGAACCCGGGTTCCTCAAAAACAGAAATACCATGTGACCCAGCAACTCCATGAACTGGGTATTTACCCGAAGAAAAGGAAAACACTAATTTGAAAAGGTATGTGCCCTCACTATATTTATCACTGTATTATTTCCAAGAGCCAAGATAGGATAGGGAAGCAGCCTGTGTCCCTCAGTAGCTGAATGAATAAACAAGAATGAGGTCTGCCATTTGTGACAACAGGGATGAATGTAGAGGGTATTCTGCTAAGCAAAATAATGCCAGAAACATACACTATATGATTCCGCTTATACGTGGACTCTAAAAAGGAAGCAAACAAAAAGCAGAAACAGACCCATAAATACAGAGAAATGATGGTTGCCAGAGGGGAAGGGGGTGGAGAAAGGCAAAATGGGTCAAGGGAAGTGGGAGAGATAGGCTTCCAGTTATGGAATCAATGGGTCACAGGGATAAAAGTTACGGCATAGGGAATAGGGTCAATGGTACTGTCATGGAGGTGTATGGTGACAGATGGGAGCCACACACGTGAGCACAGCCTAAGCACAGGGTGAGAACATTGCTGTGTTGTCACATGAAACTGAGGTAACACTGCGTGTCAACCATACTTTAATTAAAAAAGGCCAGCATGTCCATCACATTTTTACAGGCCAGGCCATCCCATTTCTGAAAAAGATTTCAAATGAGAATATGACAAAAAATTGGTTTTATTGCCAAAACAACCATAAATGTCATCTGGATATTAAATTTTCTATGATTAGGGTAAATATTTACAATCTTTATTTCACAGGCTAATGGCAGTCACAAGAGCAGGCACCACGGGTCGGGTGTGAGCCACACACAAGGCGCTGAGTGGAGTTCTGGGAACGCTCGATGGTGACCTCGATCCCGGGAGATTATTTTACCTTGGGAAATGATATTGGTGAAAAAGACCAGGAAGCCTAGATACCCAAGTCACTGCACGAGGAGGATGGAAGTATCCATCTTTGTCAGGAAAAATGGGACATCATGGGGCAAGACTTCAGGTGAGAGGAATGCAAGGGACACTTCGCGTCTGCCGGCCAGGACACCAGGGTCATCGAGCGGTGGGGACGGGCACGTTCGCATGGCATGGGCTGAGGGCTCCGGAGTTTGTGAACTCAGATGGACACAAACCCAGAACCCAGCACACCAGCCACAGAGGGCTGTGAAAACACAGGGAAGAATCCACGAACACGTTTTAGAAGGTTCCGTGACTGATGATGGAATTTCGCAGGCTGGTTTAACAAACAGAAAGAGCGGCATTGAATAGTAGTGCTCACAGCTGATGGACATGCCAGCCCAAGAGGGAGCGGAGCCGTGACGGTTGACCTAGGTCGTTCTGTGGCCTCTCAGAAGGCACCAGCCAGGGCAGCAGGCCCGGGGCGCATCTCTGAGGAAAGGACTAGCAGGGTAATGCCTGACAGAGACATAGGTTATCATCTCACAGCTATTTCCAGTCAGTTTTCTCCAAGGGGCCTCACAACCAGCTCCTGAATGAGAAAAGTAGGAGCTGTCATTTCCATTTACAGATAAGGGATGTGAAAGCTGGGAGGTTAAGTGGTTGTCCCAAGTTCTCCTGGGATGTTGCCGTGTTACGGAGAAAGCCAGGAGGAGTGCCTGTGCAGGGAATCCTGCAAGCAGCCAGAGCATGGAGGAAGGAGGAAACTTCCAGAACTATGAATGTGCAGACGGGAGCCCCGGGGAGAAGCAAACTGCATTATGTTGATGTAGACTCAGGTGCTTTTATGGTTTCTGCCAGTCTCTCCTGTGGTATCCATACAAAACCCAAAGCAAAGAGGCATGGAATTCTGAAGGAACAAAGTCCCATCATAAATGGAGCGAACAGGGCTGTCTGGGCCTCTCTACTTTCATACCTACACCTGACCAGTTTCTGACAGCTACTGGATTAGCTGATACATTCCACCCTCCCACATCAATGAGGAAGACAAGCTTCTTCCTTCATGCTCATGAGGTCCTTCTAGCTCCTTTTATGTCTGGTCTTAAGTAATCACTAGGCTTGCCACTATCAGTTGTCAGGAAAAAAAATCCGAGATGTTGTTAATCATAAAAATGTAAAAATTGACAATTTGGGGGGTGCCTGGGTGGTTCAGTGGGTTAAGCATCAGCCTTCAGCTGAGGTCTTGGTCCCAGGGTCCTAGAATGGAGTCCCAAGTCGGGTGCCTGGCTCTACAGGGAGTCTGCTTCTCCCTCTCCCTCTGCCTCCATCCTTCCCCTGGCTCAAGCTCACACACTCTCTATCTCTCTCAAATAAATAAAAATTTAAAAAAATATACAGTTTTTTATGGGGCGCCTGGGTGGCTCAGTGGGTTAAGCCTCTGCCTTCGGCTCAGGTCATGATCTCAGGGTCCTGGGATAGAGCCCTGCATCAGGCTCTCTGCTCAGCAGGGAGCCTGCTTCCCCTTCTCTCTCTGCCTGCCTCTCTGCCTACTTGTGATCTCTCTCTCTGTCAAATAAATAAATAAAATCTTTAAAAAAAATTTTTAATGTACATTTTTTTCCAGGAGACTAGTATCATTTGACTGAACAACTATTCACCAGTTTCAATTATCTGGCTCTCCCTATGGAGGAGTCCTTTTATGGCTAACCCAGCCTAGCGTATTACCTGGACAGCAGAGGGAAGCTCAAAACACAGGGCTGTGCCAAAATGCTCTCCTTTTTTGGGTAGCCATTAAAGACCATGAACTGCTACTCTTAGCAACTCCCAAGTTAGGTTAGGCCTTTCAGATTTGATGTCCCCGAATTCCAAAGCAATTCCAAGAGGGTTTCGGTAAAAGTTTTATTTCCTCTTGTGGGTCATGCTTTAGCCAGCCTCACAGTGAATTAGTTGTTATACTATATGTAAACACATAATGTACAGGTTTACATTTATACATATTTATGTACAGATATATGTTTATCTTCTACAGCCAGCAAACTTTTTTTTCAGTAATCTCTATGCCCAACGTAGGGCTTGAAATCAAAACCCTGCAATGAAGTCTCATGCTTTACCGAGGGAACCAGCCAGGCGCCTCCTGCAGGCAAACTCTTTATGAAGTTGGCAAAGGGCAAAAACGGTATCCGAGCAAAAAAGGTATTATTCTGAAGGGGGAAACAGAAGATTCTGGTGGAAAACAAACCCTTATCCCTTCCTTAGAGCCGATCTCATTTCTTCCTTCCATATTCTCAGGAATTCCAAGGAGCCCAACGGGAGACACTCAGTTCCTCCCATCTGATTGGATTCCAAGCCCATTTGCTGACCTATGTCCTCAGCCAGTGCGTCTGTACCTCTGATCTCGATAAGGCACAAAGAGACAATGATCTTTACAGAGCAAGAAACACATGGACCCAGAAGCTCCTGAGCCAAGCCTTGCTGCCCAAGATCTAAGGATAACCTTTATTTTGATAACCTTGCATCCCAACTGGAACATACCAGTTACGAATTCGATCTCAAATCTAGGAACCCACAGGTACAAATACAAACAATTCTTGAATGTCATTCACTTGAGAGGACATGTGACTTTTTGTACTTCAGAGTAATTCTGTAGCATACAAAGAAGGTCAGCCTAGGCCTGGAGGGGAGCTACATTAGCCTGGCACTGTGCCGTCTGACAGGGTCGAGGACCAACCCTCATGAACAGGAACAGGAGAGGTAACCCATTTCACCATTTCGTCTTCACTGGGATACCCCACCAACATAAAAGGCTGAGGAGAGGTAGTAGGAATTCAGTGTACAGAAAGTGCCTAGCAGCCCAAACTTAACATCCTAAGTACCATTATTATTACCCTTCTGTATGCTCTGG